CAGCAGAGGCTGGTGGGGCAGGGCCCCAGAGTGCCAAGGCACATGAGGCATGACTCGGGGGAGGGGAGGACGCTGGGCCAGCACAGCTGAGCTGGCTTTTTGGTGTGCGTGTATCTGCCCAGGCCTCCCCAGGGAGGGCCCTGTGAAGTGGCTGAACATGGCCCCTCCCCTCCCCTGGGGGGGTGCAGGTAAGGCCTGGTGGGTGAGCTGAACTGGTCTCTGACCACCCTCGCCATGCCCTGCCACAGGCTCCGATAACGAGGACACTGGTGGTCATAGCTGTCCTCAGGCCGCGATGGTTTCCTGGTTGCTGTCCCCAGCAGATCAGAGGCTCCCTGAGGGGCCTGGACTTAGGTCACACACGTGTACCTGTGCATGTGTGTGCATCTGTGAATGTGTGTTGTGTGTGCCTGTGGATGTGTGTGCACCTGTGAATGAGTGTGCATGTGAGTATGAGTGCGTCTGAGGCGCTGTGCAAGGCCTGTGTCCTATAGTTGCAGCCCAAGCCCGTTCTCTCTCCTGACCTGAGTGGGGCCCTCACTGCAGGCAGGCAGGGGAGAGGAGCCTGCTGAGGGCAGCCTGGGGTGCAGGAGGAGGGGATCTGCCTGACAGAGCCTCTGGCCTGCAGGTGTGAAGGTGTTGTTCCGCGTGGGGCTGACCCTGGTGCGCCTGGCGCTGGGCACTGCTGAGCAGCGCCAGGCCTGCCCGGGGCTCCTGGAGACACTGGGCACCCTCCGGACCATTCCCCAGGCCCAACTGCAGGAGGAAGCCTTCATGGTCCAGGTAGGTCCCCTGCCTGCCCTGTGCAATGCCCTAACGCAGCGGTTTTCAACCTGTGGGTTACGACCCCTTTGAGGTGGGTCGAACGACTCTTTCACAGGGGTCACCAAAGACCATCAGAAAACACAAATATTTCGCGATATATCATTACATATTGTTTTGTGATGAATCACTATGCTTCAATTACATCCTGCATATCAGATATTTACATGACGATTCATAACAGTAGCAACATGACAGATATGAAGTAGCAACAAAACTCATTTTATAGTTGGGGGGTCACCACCACATGAGGACCTGTATGAAAGGGTTGCGGCGGTGTTAGGAAGGTTGAGCACCACGCCGTAACTCTTGTTATACAACCGGGGAAACGGAGTCACTGAGCCAGCAGGAAACCAGAGCGAGGCCCTGGCTCATCTTCTGTCCCCTGAGCTGCAGGGATGGGAAAGCCCCAGGCCCCTAGTGGCTTTCTGCAGCAGCTCCCCCACCCCTGCTGCTGTCAGCCCCTCAGCCTCAGCCACTTCCTGGGCCTGTGTTCTGCTGGGCCCCCGGAGGGCCCCCCTGGCTTCCTGCCCATCCCTGCTCCCTACCTCCCCCCTGCCTTGGCAAACTCAGGACCAGCCTCTCGCATTAGGTACACAGCGTGGCCCTGACTGAGCGCGACCTGCAGCGTGAGATCCGGACCCAGCTGAGCCAGCTGCCCACCGCAGCTCCGGGACCCCCACCCCAGCCGAAGGCCCGCCTCGCAGGGGCCCCCGCCATCTTCGAGGTCCAGCAGCTGGCCAGGGTCCAGGGGGGCACCAGCCCCAGCCCCGAGGTGCCCCGTATCGTGGTACAGCCCCCGGAAGAGGCCAGGACACCTCGACGCAAGCCCCAGACCCGAGGCAAGACCTTCCATGGGCTCCTGACTCGGGTCCGGGGACCCCCTCTGGAGGGCCCCTCCAGGGCCCATCGGGGCTCCTCTTCTTTCCTGGACACCCGATTCTGAGGGCCCCGTGGACTCTGAGTCCGGTGCGTGGGACTGAGCAGCCGGCCCCAGAGTGCCCACTGCATTCTACAGGAGCCAGCGTTGCTCCCCAACTCCCTTCCCAGCCAGGCGGGGCCCCCATGTCAGACAGAGTCATTCCGGAGCCTGTGCCAGGCACAAGGGTGAAGAAGGGGACAGGGCGGGGCTTGCTGGGACCAGAGCCATCTGCCCATGGAGTGGCCCTGGTGCCCCTACGTAAGTGGACAGTAGCAGGAGGGGAGCTGATCGGACTCCCAACATCTGGAATAAAGTCTGACCAAGCAGAGCCTGCAGTTGAATCAAATGCCCCCCTCAGTGCTGCCTTGCCCTATCCCCTCCCCCTGCAGCCCCACCCTTGCCTGGCTGGGCCTGGTCTCCACCCAGGGCTACCAGGAGACCGCCCAGTGGCTTCTGGGAAGGTGTTTACTACTAGAGCCTTGCCCAGCCTCTGGGGCAGGTAGAGCTGTCCTACCTGTCTCAGGAGGGCTCCTCCAGTGCATGCTGGGCTCAGGAGTGGAGCCACAGTCCCTGCTCTGCTTCTCCTTGCCCCCCAAGGCCGGTCCGGGGCCCCCAGGGGCAGGGGGCTCTAGTCCAAGTCCACACCCCCATCCATGGGTCTGGTCCCGCCTCTCTGACAGAGCCAGGCAGGAACAAAAGTCCAGTGTGCCCCAGACAAAGGAGAAAGGTCCCACAGGCCGACCCTCCCACCCAGCTCTGCTCTCAGCTCTGCTGCCCCCCCTTGGGACCGCCGCCATGGAAACCCCCTCCCACACTCACTAATTGCCCCCATGGGGGCCAGGGCCAGGAGCCATGGGCAGAACAACAGGCTCCTGTCCCTGCAGTGCCCACTGTCCCTGCCTCCCATGGATACCCTTTCCAGCAGGTAGGGTCCCACCGTCAGGGGCAGACTCCACTGGGTGGAGTGCGCGTCAGAAATGTCCCAGTGCCCCAGGGCTGTCCCAGTCAGATGACAGAAGATGAGTCTTCTGGGGACAGTGCCCCCAGGCTCTCAGAAGACCCTGATGGATGTCAGATATCAGGCCAGCCCACCCACTCCTGAGGGGCCCACAGCCTGGAGGGGAGTGGGCAGGGGATCTACCCCGACTGCAGGAAGCAGCTGGGAAGCCCAGCCCAGGAGGGGATGGACCTGGGCAGTGCCTCAAGTCCCTTGGCCGACCCTCCCACCCAGAAACCCCCTCTCCCACCCTCCCGAGGGACTTTCCTCTTTCTGCCCC